AAAAATAAATGAAATGGACAACTATGACACAGCAAAGGGATTTTTGCAGATTGAATGATGATATACTGTACCTTACAGCACTTCATATATAATATTATCTCTTGATGAAAAAAACATATATCAGAGATTTATTTATATGTACTAAAATTTAGTTTTTTAGGCACTGGTAAAATTGATTTTCTGATAGTAGGAAGTTGAGACTCTTCCCTCTCATTGTATTCTTTCTTCAGTTGAAAATTTGCAAGAAAGAAAATCTTTAAATGAAGTAAATTCATGGCTTTCTTAGAGGTTTATTTTCAAGAGATATTTTCCATTCTTTTTTATATTAGATAATTTTTTGGATCAGGTTAATGCAACAAATTATAGAAATAAGATGACAAATATGAAATTAAGGGGTGTCATTTTGCAATGAATGCTATTGGATGTGAATTGAAACATTTGATTTGTTTTGGTAAGGTATCTTTATTATCATGTTGGTATTTCTTTAAAGGGAAAGTATTAGGCTATCAAATATGATTTTGACATATCTTTAGATGCAACTATCAATGTATTGTTTGCAATCCCTAAAATGAAATATGCACAAAGATGTATTTGTTTACAAATAGTCAGCATTTTTAGGTCCACACCAGCAGTTGCAAAACAGTTTTCAAACAAATTTTTATGCAGTGTTTTTATGTTTCTCTAAATGTTATGTGGTTTATTTTACTTAAACCTCAAAACAATTGTGACCCAATAGAAAAAATGGTTAAATATGTAACTGCAGAAAAGGGGATAAGCTAATATTATAAAATAAAAATGAAGCAAAATTGTAATTTTTATTGGCTTTTAATAAATATATTTCATACTAAAATAAAAACAGTTGTATCTTAGAAGTCTTTTAAGAGCTCAGGCTTGAGTCTTGGCCTTCAAAGTCTAAAATGAGATATGTTCTGACAATTTTATTTTGCTCTCTGAATCACTGTACTGTAGGTCAGAGCCAAGTTCACTGTGTGCCTTCAGATTTACCAGCATGTGTTCGTGTGCTGACATGTGTCCTAACAGAAGCATCTATGCTGTCACAACACACAGAATCCCTTCGCTGGTCACTGTAACACAACTGTATGCGATAAGCTGGAATTTATGCCACGTCCTGCTGATGTTATTATGTACTGCTGTAAAGAAGGATTGGTTGGGACATTTTCCAGATTCAGATTAAAATCTGAAGTCTGAAATTAAAGGGCTGCGCATGTTCGTTGTTGAGGCTTTACAGTTCAGGATTAATCTGTAGTCTGGCCAAGCAATTACTTAAAAACATTCTAGCTGTAAAACACAGCAAAGAAGGAGAAAAATTAAGTCAACTTACCGGGTCTTTTTTCCATTTTTCTCCCTCGACTGCCACATAGTCGAACTTTTGATATTAATATGAGGATTTGTTTCTGGCAGAGTGACTTGTTGCTTTTTGGGCAGGGTTTGCGCTTGCTGGCAATCTGTCGGTTTGCTTGGGGGTCCTTGACCTCCCTTCGTTGGCGAATAAGGGAGCTGGCAAGAGCGGCCATCTTCCCAGCACCGAGCCTTACCTTGCCTCGCCGGCCTTTGGTGGCTCGGTGGCGCCCAGGTGTCCAGGGGTTCCAGGGGCCACCCCCACCACCTGCTCACCCAGGGCGATGAATTACTGCTAAAGAAAAGTAGCAGAACAGAAAAAGAAGTAGGGGTTCTGATTCTGGACAGCAAAAGAAATGAGGAGGAAGATACAAAAAACAGAGAAGAAATCAGGGTGGCTACTTTAAAATCCCATGCAAATTTGATGACAGCCAGGGAAAAGGGTGAAGCAATCAATTCTTTTTTGGGTGGAAGTTGCTGTTCTTCTTTTAGGAAAAGGCATGTCGCTTTTACTCCTCAAAGTCCTCCGAGAGCACTTCCGGCTCCAGTCAAGTTCAGCTCGACCAAGTCCAAAAAGGACACTGAACCATCCGCCACATTATGAGACCAAACACAAATCAAAGGTATCCTACTTTAACAGCTGAGTCTGAATAAAAATTGTCCAGATATCAACACTTCACCTTGTGTCCTTCACCAATAAAATTTTTCCATTTCTGACCATGTCAGAGCAAGACAAGTAGATGAAGGAGTCTTGTCCGGCCTGAGTTATTAGGTCTGCAAGCCTGTGAAGGGACGCGTTGTCTGATGAATGGAGTGTGCCTTGATTCCAGGCTCTCTCTCCAGCTCTTCTGGCATAACCCCTCCGATCACTTGCACTCTAAGTGAAGAATGAAAAGAGACACAGAAAGGCTTGATGAATCCACTACTGCTTAGAGACAGAGGTGACATTCAAAAAAACAAGACAGAAAGAACACAGAAAGAGGGAGGGGGTAAAAGAAAAAGAGCAGTCAGTCTCTTCTGTCCCCCCCACCCCTGTCCGATCAAGCTCTCTAACTCTCACAGTTGAGCGCAGCGCTGTGTCCTTCAGCCGTGCATGCTGCCTCACAGCAGGGGGAACGAGGGATGAATGAATGTAGAGGAGATGAGATGAGGAGGGTGGGGGTCAATAGAGAGATCTTGCAGGTAGCTGTGCCTTACTCTCATCCGAGGGACTCCACCGGTGGCTGACAGTGGTCGGGTCCGGTCGTAGTGTAAGTGGCTCCATAAATGTTTGGAGGACAAGTCAAAGGATGGGGCACCTCTCAGCCTTTGCAGAAGGAGTCTGTGCACGTGTAGATGGAGCGGCAGCACAAGGTGAAGGTGTGTGACAGAAGCAGCATGCATGAAAATGTGTGTGTGTATGACTCGGTGTCTCATTCGTCCCTGTTCACAGTGCATTACAGAGTGAGTGCTTAAAACACATACACACTCTCTCTCTTTAATTCATTTCCCTGAACCCTCCTCTTTCTCCTTACCATTTCTCCTCCCCCTCCATCTTTCAAACCCCTCCTTCTACATCGGAGATTTGAGGTTCCACCTATCGCATGGGACGGGGCTGGGCTGGGGGGTGTGGGGGTGCCCTGCCTCCTACACCACCAACCCCACCACCACCAACCTTAGAAGTGATGTTAGCTTAAAGAGACAAACTGAGCCAGCTTGTCAGAGCTGCATTTCATGAGCTATGAAAAGGACATAAAGATACAGTGACACAGTATGTGTCAGTCAGCAACCTTACGTCAGTTTTATCATGGAAGTCAGTAAAACACATGTATGCTTGATAAAACACTTGTACTGTGTCTCAACATGACAAGTAGTCAAGTTTTACGCAAAAAAATGTGGTCTCCAGAGATCCCAACTGCTCAGTGAAGGTACTGCTAAAACTACCTCTCTATGTGAATGCAAATAGTTTTATTATCAATTTGACTGCGCTGTAAAACAATTTATTTGATGTCTTTTAATATATGGATTGCTTATCACTGCAGATTTTAATCTGTAAATTCAGACTGATATGATTATTTTATCTTACCCAATCAAAAACACTTGCAATAACAGAAATGTGTTGGATAGTATTTTCCTAGTAGATTGTCATTAAGGACTCACCTATGGTACAGAATATCAACTTTGGAGCTAAAAAATGAGCTTCAGATTTTACTAACAACCACAGATGAAAACACAGTAAGTGGAGTCCCAGTGATAAACTGCCCACACAGGCTGAAATAATAATTTCAGCTCTGATGTTATACAAGGTTTGCATTAAATTGAAATGACAGCTAAGCAAGAGTGGTCACCCTTTGGAGCAGCCGGCATTCCCCTGGGAAGGCAAATGTAAAGCAATCTGTGATTTGTGGGTAGAAAGGCTTGGCACTGCTGTATTCCTCTCTTGTTCTGCTGGCCTAGTAAAGAGCAAGAGGAGAAAACCCTGAAGGATTCCCACCCCTTACACACACCAACACACCCCCACCTTCGGAGAGTTTCCTGAGCTGTTAAAAAGCATAATTATATTACCTCACTCCAATGCTTTTCTCTCAGATTGATATCCATTCCTGGATGTATCCCACAACATTCACCATGAGCATCAACTTATACAACATTGGCATACCAACTTAGAGTTTGCCAACTTTATGGTAAAAATTATAGCACCATTCCTTTTGGGTAATCAGGGTACAAACTTGGAAACCCACGCATTCTTGCCCGGTTGTCTTATTGTTTGTGCAAAAATGCTAGGATAGGAAAAAATTTTGGAATTAAAGCTACAGTGTTTAATAATTACAGCAATTATTTGGCAAAAATGTAATACATTATACATAAGTATGCTGTTTATTATAATTTATGAACTGAAGGTCTCAATCGTTGTGTCTGTTTTGCTTTAGATATGGCTATTTATAATTACAGAGTAGCAGGTCACCACTGTCACCCTCACAGTGTGTTGTGAGGGTCTGTTGGGAATGTTTGGGGCGGTTTGCAGCCGAGTGTGAAGTGGCCGGGATGAGGATCAGCAACTCCAAATCCTTGGCCAGGGTTCTCCGCCAGAGAAAGGTGGGCTCCCTTCTTCAGGTCGCTGGAGAGTCCTTGTCTCAAATGGAGGGGTTCAAGTATCACAAGTAAGGGAAAGATGTAACGTGAGATCGATAGACCGGTTGGTGGGGCGTCTGCACTGATGTGGTCACTGTATTGGACTGTCATGGTGAAGAGGGAGCGGGGGGGGCAAAGCTCTCAATCTGCTGATCGATCTACATTCCGACACTCACCTATGGTCATGAGATCTGGGTAATGACCAAAAAGACAAGATTGCGAATACAAGCAGCTGAAATTTGTTTCCTTTGCAGGGTTGCTGGGCGTATCCTTCAACATCGGGTGAGGAGCTCAGTTACCCAGGAGGAGCTTGGGGTAGAGTCGTTGCTTCTCCATGTCGAAAGGAGCCAGCTGAGGTGGCTCGGGCATCTGTTCCGGATGCTTCCTGGTCGCCACACTCGGGAGTTGTTCTAGGCATGTCCTACTGGGAGGAGGCCTCATACAAGGCCCAGGAAACACTGGAGGGACTATGTCTCTGAGCTGGCCTGGTGTCGCCTAGGGGTCCTCCCAGAGCAGCTAGTGAAGGAAGTCTGGGCATCTGTTCTTAGACTACTGCCTCCGTGACCCGGCCCTGGATAAAGCAGAAGAAAATGGATGGATGGAAGATGCTAATGGCCAGGAGGAGGAGGACAAATGAGAGAAGCCTGTTTGGGAGACAGAGCAGGAAGAGGCGGCGTTGTGCCGAGGCTTGCTTCTAGAGGCTAACATCTGAGGGTGAGCAGCAGCTGATCAATGTTTGTGCTTGGGGGTAAAAAGATGAAACCATCCATTCAGGGCTAAATTAAAACAGCTTTTTAAAAAGCTGCTCAAAGACTTCTTTGTCAACTTTATTATCTCTATCTTCTGTTATCTCTGCAGCCTTGTTCAGTAAAGCAGTGGTACTTTTATGATACATTTCCAATTTTTATACTTATGTCAATAATAAAGTTTCATGTTTTTTTAGCCCACATGTGCAGAACACACTTAGGAGACTGAATCAGATTTTAAATGTTTATTAGTTTATCTGAATACTTGAAGAGATTATCTGAGACTGGGTCTTCGACTGCGTGAAGAGGAGTCAGAGATTAGGTTTTGAATGGATAAGTAAATAATGAAAATCAGAATCATCTTACAGAGAGATGTATGATTTACCACCAAGAGGGAATAATGAGTGGAGTCTGAGAGAGGAGTCTTGTGGAAGTTGGAACTAGAGTTGAACCTGCTGCTGTAGGAGCGTCTAAATTCAGGAAGTCGAGGTTGGTGTTGGGCGGAAGCGCTGGGTGGTTTGGAAGGAGAACACGGTTTGATCAGAAAAAGCTTGCAGGAACAGTCTAACCGGGTAACTGCCAGCATGGAATCTCAGAAGGTTAGTAGAAACTTCCATATAGAGCAGTTTTCTGAGCATTTGATTCTAGAAGCATGGAGGAGACCTGGAACGAGCTAAACACCAGAGCATGAGAGGACTCAGAGGAAGGACCAGAGACCAGGCAGGTAAGATACACAGATTAACACTCTGGTGATGAAGTGCTGGCAGCACACTCCTTTTTAGATTCTCTTTAACAAGTTCTGATGGGAATCACTTGTCATTCCCCAGCCCCTGAAGCACAGGTGCCACCTACTGTATAGGATAGAAAGCAATAAGCAAATTGGAGGAAAAACCTCCCAGACTCCAATAAACAGTATGACAGAATTTAAGGATCTGATGCTGTGATCGGCTCACAAAACCCTGATATTTGTATCTCAAGTGTTAACAAACCTCAATCATTATTTGATAATATCGTTGGTGTGGATGTTTCTGAAGCCTTGTTGTACCATGATGACCTCAGTGGAGGGGAGTCTTTTGTGTCGCTGCAGTCCACAGTCTGAACATTAGATGCCATTGAAAAATTAAACACTGTACAGTAGATTGAAGTTTCAGCTTGTTGCACCTTTTAATAGCGTTTTTCTACCCCCAGGAGTCTTGCCTTTCATGCAAGGCCTGCCAGCAGGTGTACAATTTTGTAAAGCAATTTTTAAATGCTAATTAAAGGGGAAAAAAAACAAAACTAATTATTGTTTAAGGAGTCAACCCTGCTCAAGTTTTACACTAGGAATCTGAATTTTAGCCTAAGTGGTAGAGACAAGAGGTGAAATGGAATACAGCTAAAGACCAAATTCTCAAAAACCCAAGCATACAGCAGTTTTAGGTTTAGAGTGGAAAATATAGATGCCAGCAGATTGTAACAAAGAAATCATTCTGCACAAACGGGCCAAGATAAAGCAAAAGGAATGCCAGGAGAAAAAAAGAGAATCACTGAAGAGACAAACATTAAGTCTGGCCAAGACACAGATAAACAGAGACAGAGGGACGATGAAACAGAGAAACAGTTTGGATTGGATTAGACCTCGTAAGAAATGAGTCATGTATGAGGACACTTACCAGTCTTCATAAGGGATGCAGGAAAGCTGGCTTATGTAATATGTTTTCTTTTGGTTTCTGTACAATACAAATAATATGATCATAATATGGGCCTTGTCAGAGAAGCTTTCATCTTGCCATTAATCCTTTTCGAACTGTGGCAATGCACGTTGTTAATCACATTTTAGCATCTGTAGTGGAGAAATAGAAAATGCTATAAAGACACAGCCTATTAGACAGGATTTATCATCTCAACATTGCCAATTGCATAAATGGAGCTCAAGGCACAGATGCATTATGGTTTTATATTTCAAACAACATTCCTTCAAGTCTTTGGTGTCACAGACAAATATGTCCAATAAAGACAGAAAGCTTACACAATGGATCTATGAAGCGATAAATGGAACCAATTTAAAGTTAATATCGAAGAAGAAAAAGTTCATGTTTATCATGTGTACTGGTCTGTGCCGGTTGGCTTGGGTACAGGTGATAATGGATATTTAAAAATCTTAAGTCAAACTATGTATAACACCAGATCTCTAGAAACAGCTGTAAATTAGGTATAAAATTACACCCCAGTGTCACTCTCAGATGTAATAATGCATTGTTCCTTTTTGTCAGTCAGGGACTGTTAACCAGCACCAGACTGAGACAAATGGGCCACAAATTGGGATTGATGTGGATGGTTCTCTGTGGGGAACTTTAAATGAACACATAATGCAGGTATCCACCACTCTGACTTCTCTAGATGGTGCAAATAAAACTTGGTGACAGAAAAAGGGACCAGACAGGAATGAAGATATATGGTGGCCAGCTTTTACTAGACCTTCTGCAGTTTATGTTGACACATACACATAAATCTGGTGGACATGCTAGTGTATACGACTGTGCAAAGTTTGTAACCACCTCAGTAGT